TAAGGGCATGGAAGGCGATGAGGACATGTTCCTCATGAGCTATCTTTTGGAGGTGAACATAAAGAGTTCACGTTTGCCTCCCAATTATCGAAGTTGTCCTCCTTCCCGCTGTAGGAATCAGGGAACTTCACCTTAACGGGCTCTCCACGTGGCCGGGCGTCTTCCTCTTTAGGGCCCACTATCTTGGCGCCCTCTATGGCCCCCACGCAAAACTTCTGAGTGCCCTCCATAATCGTGCGCAATTCGGTGCCTACGTGCATCATCATATCCTTTGCAAAATCCTTAAAACCGGTGCGCATGGATTGCAGTGGGATGTCATGGCCCTTTAAATAGTGCAACTGTTCTTGCTGCCCCTTCAGCATCACCTCCACGCTCTGTGATAAGATCTCCACCTTATTTTGGAGATGAACTTGTGTTGCCAACCTCCCATGTTCTACTTCAGCGGCCCTCAAATCTTCTTCCATTTTCTTGGCCGCCTCCAATCTCCTCTTCCTCTCGCGGGCAAGGCGGAGTTTCCACTAACTTTTTCTCCTCCATCGCCTGCCGCTTCATGGGATTCGCTTCACCCTCCAATTCCCTAGCAAATTGTTCCCGCTCTGCCTGAGGGACAAACAACAATGCTTCATCCTCCTCTCCCAGGGCCGAGTTAGCTACCCATTCGTTTACCATGCTCTCCATCTTAGCTTCCGCCTCCATCTTGGTTTTGGCCTCTCGAGCCCCACTGAATTTCCCTCTCTTTTGTCCTTCCTCTCCTGTCCAGTGGTATCTCCTCGTCTTCTTTTGTTTCTGACTCTATTGCCGCCAATTTCTCCTCCTGCTCCTTTTTTCACTTTTGAAGCTCCTCCATCTGCTTCTGCTTGGCCTTTTGCTCCTCCATTAGTGCCAGCATCTTTGCCTGCTTAATCAGCTCCCTCTTCTCCCTCTTCTCCTTCTTCTCCTTCTTCTCTCTCAAGATGGCGGCGACTTTCTCTTCTTGCTCTTTAGTATACGGGGTGGTGATCTTACCACCGCGCGTCTCAATCATGGTGAAAGATGCACAATCGAGTGTCAGTTCCACTCCTCACCACTTAGACTTCCACCCCCTAGCTGACTTAACTTTCCTACTGACTCTCTAAGGACCACAAAGCCTTACCCTTTGATCCAGCCAGGTTACCACGGCCGACGGAAGCTTTCACCACCACTGTCCTTTACAATCCAGACCCAGATGCCCAGCACCTGCGGTCAATCCCACCTGGCTTTCCCTCCTGTTCAGACCCTGCCAACTAGGGTCACTAGCCTAGACCTACTTCTAAGCTGTCACTTCAGGACTTACCGCTGATCAGGAGGCATTTAAGGAGATCCCCCGGAACTCCTCAGGAATTCTTTAACATCGCAAACACGACGACGCGATCAGCAAGTCCTCTCAAGACTTAGACAGCCTGGTGTGCAGCCCACAGCTCGGATTTTGGGCCTATCGTGCCACACCGAGCAGCCCGGCGGTCAGTACCGGTCCTTGGGAGGGTTTGTGTCCTCCGGGACAGTCGAGTCGTTAGACACAGCCTTTAGCCCTACTCAGCCCGTGTGGGTCTGGTCAACGAGGCCCTATCCTTCATACACGGAGTTCCTATCACCTGGACAGAAGAGACTCAATGCAAAAAGAAGAGACAGACAGACTCAGCAAGTACCATGGGGTGAGTGCACATCCATAGGGCAAGGGAATAGGCTAACGGCTTGGCAAGATTATACCAACTCCAGCTTGGTCAAATTCGTGGTCAACAGCACGGGTCAACGCCTGGTCAACGCCGGTCAACCCCTCAGTCAATTCCCAAATCAACCTTGGTCAACTTCTTGGTCAACACCCAAGTCAACTCTGGTCAACCCTTTGGTCCACGGTCAATTCGGCTATGGTTGTCGACACTTTTTCTCTTACCAACCCTTGCTTCTCTTTTCCCCCACCTTTCTTCTTCCTCACTGCTTTCTCTTTTCACCTCGGCTAGGAGTATATTTCCCTTCTTTGTCTCTCCCTTCTCCTTCCTCGGCTATGGCTTCTCTCTAATCCTTTGTCTCTCCCTCCTCTTTCACTCGTCTTCTTTCTTCTACCTCCGTGCGCGAGCTCCACGGCTATGGCCGCCGTCGTTGGACCGCACAACGATCTTGTATCATTCCTCTATCTTTCTCTCTCTCTCTCTCTCTCTCTCTCTCTCTCTCCCCCCTTCGTCGTTGTCTCCAATGCAGGTACGCGGCACATGTCTTCGATCGCGCAGCTATGGCGAATTTCCTCCTTCGATGGCACAGCTTCGGCTATGGCGCCGGTTATGGACAACGGCGATGACGCGTGAAGTAGCGGGTACCAGCTCCGATACCAATGCTATCGGACTTGCTCGCACTTCCACTTCGCATGCATGCAAACAGATGGTGATTCACACTGGCGCACAACGCCCACACCAAGCTCAGAGATATGGCAAGCGAGAACACAGTTTGGATGCAAACTCGCTTCAACAGGCTATGGCACAACAGCGCCTGTTCGTCACAACTCTCGTCACTGCGTTGAACGCCACTGTTCACACTCAACTCTGGATCGCCCTGAATACTCCACGCACACTCACTCTGTCTGTCACACACACATACACTAACAGCTACCTCTAATCTATGGCGGCTATGGCCGCTCGCTACTACTCCTATGGTTATGCTATCTTCCTCGAGCCCACTTCGACTTCGGGCCACCTGCAGACCACCTCGCACAAGACGCTATAGCAGCGCTTCCACATGGCTTATGCAGCGAGTCCCTGAATGTGCAAGGAAGATGAGCAATAGCGAACTTCAGCAATCAAACAGCATCATATTCATAAGACCAGATAGTCGTGACCTCGAACCAACAGCAGAATTGCATCACGAGTTTCACCAAATAAGAAGACACCAAGAGCTCAAAATTGACAATGCTGGTAATGTCTCATCATCATCATCATCAAAGAAGAACCAATGTTGATATCCTATCTGGCGCTCGGCGCCCAGACTACAGATGGCAGATCCTATCTAGCCTAAACTACAATGCCGAAAGATGACGTCAACAGCTTTCCCGAAGTACGAGCATACAGCGACCTATGTCGCACGCTTCCAGCACCAGGTATGTCTCTCGCTTCACTCACAGCCTCGTTCCCCAACACACAGATGCCACTAGCACCCAAGGACCACCCTGCGCCACACCTAGCTCACAACGGTCTCGGCTATGGCTGCCCGCTCCTTCCTGCTCGCCCGTGAGAGCGTGAGTGCCAGCCAGCAAATAGTGCAGCATGCAGCCAGCACCCGAATGCCCAATGAGGAGGCAGGCCCTTTGCTATATCGAAGTGGCCTGCCTGTGTCCAGTCCCAGGTAGCTTCCAGTAGGCCCCGGTAGCCTGAGGCCCAGCACGATCGAGAACAGGCCTGCGGCCTGCGGTAGTTGCATGTGCCCAACTGCCTTTGGCATGTGTTTGGCCCAGTACCCGTATCCAGCCCAGGGCCTGCTTTCCATTCATTCACACAGGCGGCCCAGGGCCTGGGTTTCTTCAACCAACTGGCGCTGCGCAACTGCCTGAATTTCCTTAGTTGCGCAGAGGCCGAAATAAGGCCCTGAAGGCCTCGTCGAGCCTTGCGCAGAGGCCGAAATAAGGCCCTGAAGGCCTCGTCGAGCCTGCCTTCACTTAGGGCGGCCGACGGGCTGTAAGAGAGGGGCCGGAAGGGACTCATAGAGGCAGTGGCCTCGCAAATGGCTGGGCACTGCCTCTTGATTTATACTTCTGTAACTCGTTGGTCTGCCCCTTTCCCAGGCCCTTGGTGCACACAGTCCCACACGGTACTTGCTTGACTGGACTCTGACTGACTGGGACCGG